GAACGTGGAGTTCATTATGATCAGGCCAGTGTATTATCTCGTGAGGGTACATGGGAGCCATTCTTATTTACCCGGAGGAAACGACCACTAAAATTWGTTGAATGGGCTAGAATGCGTATGAGACGTCCAGATGATACAGTGTTAGCGTCGCAATATGAAGAGGACCGGTTAGAAGATGAAGATGGCAAGCCAGATAATGATTACTTGTTAGAAGATGAAGTGGACATGCTAGAAAATGAAGAGGACTGGTTTGAAGATGAGTACAACATGCCTGATGATGATAATGGCTTTCTAGAAGATGAAGTGGAAATGCCAGGAGATCAGGATGATATGCCAGAAAATGAAGAGGTCTTGTTAGAAGAGGAATACAACATGCCAGATAATGTTAATGGCTTGCTAGAAGATGAAGTGCAAATACCAGGATATATGGAAGCCATGCCAGAAAATGAAGTGGACTTGTTAAAAAATGAGTACAGCATGCCTGATGATAATAATGGCTTGCTAGAAATGCCAGTAGATCAGGAGGCCATGCCAGAAAATGAAGAGAACTTTTTTTTTGGATCAATGGAAATGAAGAGAACTTGATGGAAGATGGATACTGCATGGCATCGATTGAAGTTGCTTTTATTGGAAGATGCAGTGCATTTTGCCAGAAGATCAAAGATAAGACAATCATTATCATATGTGATGGCACCTATCCTGATACTTTTTCCTTGACAAAAGGAACAAAGCAGACTAGGACCATCCATGTCTGATATGTAGTAATAGCAGAAAGAGCTTTTCACCACTTGTTTATTGTGATGTTATGGGTTTTTTTGGTAGATATATTGCAGTGGCCATGGAGATGAAATGCCAGTTTTGCAAACTTATTAAGCCCATTTTCTCCAATTTGGATGTGTAAATGAATGCTGACTTTACTACTTTATATTTGATACGATCAGCACTTCAGCTGATTTAATGTAATCTTTTGTTGAAGGGCTGTCTAAGGATCGTTTGGACCCAACAGAACTGAACCGAGTTGATCCAATTTAATGGGGTCTCGGTTTGCAACATTTGTCCCGATTGTAGTTGGGTTGGATCTGAGCTTAAAAATTATGTCTCGATTATGATTGGACCTGTTGTTCCAAACTGATTAAGACCCAAAGCGACTCTATATAATATGAAAATACTCTAAACCTGCAAATTTGCTAAATCCACAAATTTGAACATGACAATATGATGATATTACAGAGATAGGTATTAGATTAATAATATATACATGTGTGTAAGCATTACACGCATAGATATACATGTATTATAATTTGTTGCTGATTTATTTACTTATTTTCACGATTTTTTTTTTTCATTTTTTGAAGTTTACCTTCTAATTTTTCCAGAGGTTGGGCCAAACACATGTGGACTTATGTGAGGACATTGTGGTGTTCTACACCATATAAATCAGGTTTAAGTTGGCTATGCAACATCTTGGATCGTGAGCCTTTGAAGTAAATGGGCTTATGGCCCATAATTAGATCAAGTATGTTGTTACATGACAATCTGGGTTTGGAAATGGGTATTGAGTACCTATCCTTTTATGAGGATAAGGCTTATCTCTTAAAAGAGTTCAGATCCAAATTAGATTTGGATAATCTCCTATTTTGATTAGGAGAGCGTTCCATAAGGAGATAAAAGAAGAAGATGGTGAACCAGACTAGAACACCACTCTCTATTGGTCTCTGTTGTTCTCTTTTGCTTTCCAATAAACCCTATTACAACCTAAGCTTTCAAGGACTGATAAAAATTAGTTTTTTTTTTTGTAAGAAAATTCAGAGGAATTTTAGGCTCACCTTCCCTAATTTGATCCAAGCAGTTGGGTTGCAGTTTTGCTAAAAACTATGTTGTTGAATCAACTTCACCAATACATTATGTCATTTTCAGTAAAGGCTGGTTTTAGGACTGATTTGGGCGTGAAATTCCACATTGGGATCTGTGTTTGTGGTATTCGTACCAGGTATAGATCTCTTTCTTTGTTTGGTTTCAAATCAGGTTCGATTCAATGCAAGATTGATTCAGAAAATTCAGTTTTCAAATTTATCGAAAAATCTGTTCTAGTAAGGGTTGGAAAATTTTTGAAATTTTGCCTAGGCATCTAGCATGGTTCCATCATACATATGATATTACATAGATATACTAAGAAAATTTAAATTAATCCTAAAATTGTATTAAATAACACTAAGTTTAAAGCTCAATTCATTAAAATGAAACATAAATAGGCCAACAACCCTTTGCCCTTGTTATGATATTGGTTCTCACTAGATGGTCCTTTGTTTTGACAGAACCCTTGAGTGATTTTTTTTTCCTTCAAATTTTATTTAGTTTGTATTGCGGTGTTTGTGTTTGCTGAGAGGTCTTGTTTTGTTTGTTTTTTCATCAATGAAATGTTTATTTACCAAAAAAACTCTTATTTTCTCAACCTCCATGGATCTAGCGTCTATATGCTCATAGTAAGTTGATACCTTCTTGGTTACTTAGTTACATATTCTAGATCCTATGGTTGGGCTAGTCATGGGTAACCAAATTTGCATTGAATTGTAATTCCATATGCACCCGGTCCACATTTCGTATTCATACTTTGGAAAATGATGTAAATGAGATGTTTGATTGAATGACTTTGGGCTTAAAAAAAAGGGGTTCAATCTGATTCCAACCATTTTGTTGCGTGGATTTGGGATCTAATTCCCATTTCTGCTATAATGGCATTCTCCCTTTTGAGGGAATGGTCATTCCCTTCCCCTCCTTTGGTAATGAGAATCCATTTTAGCCAATTCGAATTCTGATTTCGATTCTGATCTGGACCAAATAAATGAGGGGAATAGATCATTTCGATTCCAATTCCAATTATGAAGGATTTTGATTTCAATTCCAGTTCCAACTGTGAACCAAATAAACCCTTATAAATAGTTGATTGAATGGAAAATGCTCATTGGTAATGAGGGTACTATAAAAATTTTATAGACAAAAACTGTG